GTTGGACTCTCCAAACTTCTGAACCCATCGCTACAAAACTGGGAAAATCAAGCTGGTTCGGGCAAACTTGACTTAACAAAAGTCTTTGGCTGTTCGTAGGAGGCACGAAAATTGCTGGTTCAGACAACGCTTGCCAAGCCCTTGCCGAGCAGTCCCAACTTGCTGATCAGCCTGCCGTCGCATTCGTAGCCATTATAATTTAGAACAGCCCACTAGCTCCAACACTGAGCTGAGCAGACGCGCCAGCTGGGCAAGCCCGCATCTCTGTAGGGACGCGCCGCGGATTGCTGTGACATTCTTAGCCAGCGCCGCCGTTCTGCGAGCAAAGTTTGGGGGCCCGTGACCCCGTGGGCTGCTTTCCCCAGGCTTTGCTAAAACCGTTGCGGCTGTTCTTGCCTAGCGCAAAGACCCACGAGACAAACACAAGGGCTCGACGATTGAAGACCCCAAATTTACATTAATTGCGCTAACAAGACCCCAGTGTAGTCCAGGCTCTGCATCAGCTCATCCTTGGGCTCCGGCGGTGACTACCTCCATGCTTGTTTATATACACGCATTTTGAGTCGTACGGCGAAGGAAAACTATTCTTCCAGTGCCTACATCAATGTAGGGACCCCAGGGACCCCAGGGACCCCAGGGACCCCAGGGACCCCAGGGACCCCAAAGACGCCAGGGACGCTCGTCGGCCCAGGCCGGGCGAGTAGAAGACGCCCGGTGCCCAGCAGATTCCAGCAGCAGCATGTGCACATGTGACTTTCGGAGGAGTTGGTCAGAATTTGGCAGACGAGTTGATCAGACTTTGGATGTGAGGGCTTGCGAAGCTGATTTTGGCTGAAATCTGGAAGTTGCTTGTGGATCTTGTTGCTATGTCCTTCAATGCAGTTGCGGGCTATCTCGGCGACCTTGCCCGCGGCAAGCGGAGGGTGACTGCGAGCCGGCCAAGTCTGACTGGGAAGACTTGCAGGCCGCCGTCTTGTACGAGTGGTTCTATGGGGAGGACATCGGGGGCCGTTTTCCCCCGCCAGAGGACCACGTCCTGGCAATTGCCGAACGCAACGCATGGCGGAAGATTCACGAGCAGATGCACGAGGGCAGCACCCTCAAGGCGGCCATGCTGTCGGTCAGGCAGGACACATTGTTTTGGACACGTGAGGTCTATGAGAAGATCAGGACCTTTTCCAGGGGCCGCCCACAAACCAGGACATCCATGGACTACGCACCACCCCAGAAGGGCAAGAACAAGTCCAAGGGCAAGGGGAAGTCTAGGGGCAAGCCTGGGAGCAAAGGGAAAGGTAAGCCCCCCCAGCCGAACAATCAGGCGTCCAGGGGCGGTAACAAGCAGGCGGCCACCGATCCGAAAGGGAACCAGTTCTGTAACAACTGGATGCGCGGGCGCTGCCCGGGCAACTGCGGACGCACCCACAAGTGCAACCTCATCCTGGCAACGGGCCGCATCTGCCTGGGAGACCACCTCCCGCAGGACTGCCCGGGTTGACTAGGGGCGCTGACCCCGACCCCCCGGGAGGCCTCAGGTGCCGAGGGCCCTGATAAGGCCCGGGGGGGCGAGAGGGGGCGCAAACGCCCCAAGCAGGCACATGAGCCCCCTCCTGCAGGTGCCGAGGGCCCTGACACAGGGGGGGGACAGGCCAGGTGGCGGCCATCCTCGGCGGAACAAGGATGGGGACGGCAGAACCAGCGTGCACAACACCCTCGCTGGGGTCAGAACAACCACACAGCTGGCACAACGGCGGCGCCTCAGCCCCGAGCCACGGGTGCCGAGGGCCCTGAAACGGCAGGGACGGGACGGTTCCCTGCAGGTGCCAAGGGCCCTGACACGGGGGGCCGCGCCCAGCAGGCCCGATTGCCGGATAACTGGCAGCACACCGCAACGCCAAGGAACACGCCCAGGAGGCAGCCGATCCCACTTCCGGCGCCCAACATCATCAAGCAGGACCCGGTGGTTTTTTATAAGAGCTCGGTTGGGCTGAATGAAGGGGGCCAGCGCCTTTCAGCTACCCCCCTGACAAGTCCCACGGAGCCGTCACCGGGATGGGACATCTTCCCGTGGATGGAGAACATCCCGGAGCGTTTGGTACAGCGGCTGAGATGGACACAGGGCACATCACCCAAAGTTCCATCCAGTGGGCCCATTATTGTCCTGCTCTATGCAGGCAAGGAAGACCCAACTTCCTTGGACAGCTGTCTTCATGCCAACTACCCACACCTTTCCAGCATGGTGGTGGCGGTAGACATCCTACGATCGGGACCAAAAGGGAACCACGACATGCTCCAACCCGAGCTATATGGAGCTCTCTGCACGGCAGCAAAGCAGGGCCGAGTGGTCTTCATTGGAGGAGGACCCAACTGCAGGACATGGTCCATCCTGCGCCACATACCAAAACCGGGGGCCCCCACCCCGGTGCGAGGGCGCACTCGAGAGACACTTTGGGGCCTCCCACACCTGGACCAGGCCGCCCAGACTCAGCTTGATGATGACAGTATCCTCATTTTGAGGCAGATGTACATCACCAGCCTGGCAAGGGCCTCAAGAGCGGCGGTTTCTCTGCCAGGGCCAAAGTCCTTCTTGGAGCACCCGGAGGACCCAGTGGTGAGCAGCTCGCTGCCCAAAGCCAAGGAATGCTCATCCTTCTGGATCACGGAGGAGGGGCAGCTTTGGATGGAGGCAAACTCCTTGACAGCAATCTCCTTCGACCAGTGCCGCCTGGGCCAGCTGGTCAAGAAGGCCACTACGCTAGCCACGGATCTCCCAATTCAGGATTGGGATCAAATGCGGTGCACGCATCAGTCACATGTGGGCACCAACGAGTCCTCGACTCTTAGCAGATACCCTTGGGATATGATGGCAGGCCTGGCCAAAGCCATCGCTGTGTCACTCGCAGCGCCGGGGCACATCCGGATCCCCTCACAATTCCCGGGAAACCCTAAGGAACCACCTAAGGGGCGGGGGTCGGACCTTTCGGAGGGCCCTTCCCCCCCGAGGAAAACGGGGACCCAATCAGGGAGGCGGTCCCTCCTCATCACACCAGGGCCCAAAGCCCGGAGGCAAGAATGCCCCGAAGCCCCGCCAGCACGGGCACATCCACCTTGAGGCAGACACCGTAAGCCCTCGTGGAACAATGAACCCAGACTTCCCATCTCCCATGGTCTCGATGGCCGGAGATGCGGAACAACTGGGGAAGGAAGAACACGGGGACCAGGTCCTGGACCGCCCCGAATGCCTGCCCGCTTTCAGGGTCCCACGCCTCATTGACCGAGTTGCGATTGTCCAATTGGGTTTCCGCTCACGCCCCCTGAGGGATGGGGGGGGGAAACCTTCCCCGGGGAGGCTCAACCCCCCCTTTCGGAGAATTTCCCCTTTGGCTACTTTGGGCGCCCTGATCATGACCCTCACCCGGCCCTGGATTGACAAGGTCCGAATGTCCCTGGCATCAGGTGCCACCACACACCCCTTCCAGGAAGCCGACCTCGATGAGCTGCGGGCTATCCTGGGACCTAGGCACCTCCATGAACGATGCCCAGGGCAACCCTTCCTCCTGGACCTAGTTTCGCACTTGGCAGACACTGAAAGAGGGGGTCCCATTGGGAGTCTCGGACCCTACCTTGACCTCCCCCGGAGTTTGGCCGACTAAGGAGGAGCTTAAGGGAGAAGCCTGGCTGGGGGAAGACCCCCCCCCGCCGGTGGCCCATGATAACTACCCAACGGCTGAACTCTTTGCCAGTGAAATCGAGGCAACCTTTTACGAGGAACGAGCCTTGGACATGGTGGACGGGCCCTTCACCCGGTCGGAGGCGGCAGAGAGGTGCCGCTGCAAACCGGAGGAACTTTGCCCGGCCCCCTTGCGGGGATTGATGAGTCAGACAAGATCAGGACGATCTACGATGGCTCGAAAGGGGGAGCAAACGCACACATCCAGGCTCATACGGGGGAGAAGACCACTGCACCGATGGTTGGAGACTGCCTCCACGCCATCCACTGGCTCAGGACAGCGACGGACCATCCCCATCTACTTCGAGGACGCAGTGATGGCGCAGGCCAAGAGCCGCACTGACGCCGAGCGCATGGAGGCGTTGGGACGCCTCCTGCAGGAGGAGTCCGTGGAGGACTGGCGGAGCCTGCAGCTTGGCGCTCCGCGTGCAGCCATGCCTGCCTCTGACAGCGTCTCATCCAGGGACCCCAGGAACCTCAGGGACCCCAGCAACGCCAGGCGCCCCAGAAACCTCAAAACTTTCAGAGACCCCTGAAACCCCCGCCCTCCAGGGCACGACAGCTTGTGACTTCCGCGGTGCCGATTTCGGTTGCCTGTTTTGCAGGCAGGCCAGTTTGGTATCTCGCTTGGACTTTGATGCAGCGGCAGGATGTGGGTCAGCCAGTCTGACGGATGGACGCTGCGAAGCCTTGCAAGGCTTGGCCCGACCGACCTTCAGGCCGCGAGTGACAAGGAGGAGGAGCATCCAAACCCGTGCGTTGGTGTTGCCAAAGAAGCCAGTCAATCTTGTGTTTGCTCTGGAAACTTGGCTCGAGGGTACTCATCAACACTGACACAACAACAGCTCGCAATGGTTGCCCGATGGTCTAGTGCCAGTGCTTGAGGAATCGCAGGCCGCTCAAGCGCTTTTCGAATAGCCATGGCGATGATGCGGACCAGGACCAAAAGCCGAGGCTGGCAAGCTTGTGACGCTACCGTGCCCGCGGTGGGCAGCGGCCAGGTATGTGCCTCTGCCTTCTCGGGGTCGCATTGGCGCTGCTCGTGCAGCCGAGCACGGCCTGGGTCTTGGGACACATTTTTGTCCCGAAGGTTTTCGGGTTTCAGGAGTCCCTTGTCGCCGCCCAGGACTTTGCTCGAGGAGTTCCTGGGCTGAAGGAGCATGAAGTCCCTCCTTTGGATGTTCTTGTTTCGTGCTGAGTGCCAGGACAGCATATTGGCCCAGTTCTCAGAGTTGCCCGCAGGCGCAAGCAGATTGCACTTTGGCTCTTTCAGGCAAAACGGCGCCCGTTGCATGCCGGAGTCGCTCGGCGCGCCGGGGCTGCGCAAGAGGACTCCTCTGACCCGAAGCCTGTTCGCATCTTTTGCCGGTTGCCGCCAGGACAACAGTGGCCAGGCCTGGGGGACACGTGCATCGGGCTTGAACGTTGGGCTTGTTGGTTGTCAGGACCGGCGCGATCTCGAGGAGGCGGCGGACCAGAGAATGCGGGCCGAGTTCGTGGAAGAGGCAGGGCTGTTTGCTTCCTTTGCCTAAAGGTGAGATCCACATTTCGCGGCATTTTCTTTTTCCTCCAAAGCAGCCAAAAGGGCATTGGAGAAGGCCGTCTGTTTGTGCGCGCTGCTTCGGCGTGTGAGTCTTGCTGGGCAGGACCTGCTCCTGGCGCGGCAGCAGCTGCAATTTGCTCTGGCGCAGCAAGAGACGGCCCAGGCGCAGGTCAAGACGGCCCAGGCGCGGGCGGAGGAATCGGGCGATGCGAAAAAGGTGCAGGCGGCGGAGAGGAAGGTGGAGAGGGCGAAGAAGGAGGTCCAGGAGGCGAAGAAGGAGGTGGAGAAGGCGGAAAGGAAGGTGGAGAGGGCGAAGAAGGAGGTCCAGGAGGCGAAGAAGGAGGTCCAGGAGGCGAAGAAGGAGGACACTAGATTCCTGGCATCTTGGCTGTTTTTTGTGTGTTGCCGCCAGGATTCTCTCGGGCCACAGGTCCAGATCTCGGTTTTGCTGTGATGTTTTTCTGCCTGGATTTTCAGCTCTTGAGGTGACACGCTGGCACCTTTGGCGTGGCGCAGGACGCTTTAATCAGCAGTTACGCTGGCGTTGCTCATTGCAGTGGCCGAGCTCGGCCTGGGTCTTGGGAACGTTGAGGGGTTTGAATTTCCCCGACCGCCCGGCGTGCTTTTAGTGGGGCTGCCCTAAGCGCATCCACAAAACCAGGAAATCCCAAGATTGCATTTGCGCAGATTGCAGCGCTTCCTCTTGAGAAAGGGAAGACAGCACAAACGCTATCTTGGGATTTCCTGGTTCTGTGGATGTGATCAGGGCAGTCCCACTGAAAGCATTTCCGGGCTGCGGGGGAAATCAACAGCCCAGACAACGACCAACGGCACACCTCAACACAAAGTCTGCAGGCAGCAGAAATACATTGTGCGCACTTTAGCAATCTCCCCCATGCTCATGCTGTTGGAACCAAATAAAACATTAGGATCGACCTGTGCCTTTAGCAGCAACGACCCCAATGGCTGCACCAGCGTCAAAATTGCGCTTCCTGTCTTCATAGATTTCAGCTGGCTGCATTGTTGGCAGACGGGAAACGATTCACTGTGGAAGCCCATGAATCGAATGTTGACCTTCCTTGCCATTCGGGGAGGTCGTTCGCTTCTGCCGGCCGACGTTCTTTGAGACGCTCTTCTTCCATGAAGGATGCCAGCCATGTAAAAATCAGCAGTGTCTGCCTTCATGCGAAGTTCACAATGCTCTTGAAGTGTATTGGCAGACCCTTACCTTTTGACCCCCGGCGGCGAGATAGCATAGTTGATCTTTGTGACTGTGCAGGCAATTTGGGGCATTCGGGGTGCGAAAGGAGCTTTGAGTGTCAGTCCAGTGCAAGGGCATCGGCAAAGTGGCGTCTTTGACGGCTCCAGCAGCGCCAGCGGCAACCAGAGTGCTAGTAAACAAGCCGCGTAGGGTCGTGAACACGCGGACCAACATGACACGAAGCAAGGACATGTTGGCCCGCAAGAAGTCGTCCGCCGCCCAAGAGTGCTCATCAAATGCTTGAAGGCACTGGGCACACATTGCCGACGTATCCAGCGGTAGGATTGGCCTTGCAGGCCCGTGAAGTTCAGGAATGGCCATGGCTGTGATGAGGGCCAGGATAAAAAGCCAAGGCCCGCAAGCTGATATGCTGCGCTGTTTGTTGTGTGGTTTTGCAAGGTGCGTGCCTCAGCCTGGGAATGCGCTGGCGTTGCTCATTGCAGTGGCCGAGCACGGCCTGGGTTTTGGGAACGTTGAGGGGTTGGCAGCTGACTCGTTCGGGCTTCAGGAGTCCCTGTCCGCCGCCCACGAGTTTTCGCGAGGAGTTCCCGGTCGGAAGGACCGTGAAGTCCCTCTTTGCGAATGTTCCTGCTTGTGCTGTGATGCGAGGACCGCAACGGCGCACCGGCCCAATCTTCAGACTTGTCCACTAACGCAAGCAGATTGACCCTTTTCGCATCCTGCGAGCTTAGTGAGGCATCGAGCCAGCGCTGGTTGCATGCTGGAGTGGCCTTGCGTGCCAGGGCTGCACGAGAGGACCTTCGGACCCAAAGCTTGCAAGTTTGGACGATTGCAGTTGCCAGGACAACAATGCCGAGGCCTGGGGGACATGTGCATCAGAACGCTGGGCTTCTTGGCTGCCAGGACCGGCTCCATCTCGAGGAGGCGGCAGGCCTTCAGAGAAAGGACAGGTCCCAGCTTGGCCTCGCTCAGGCGATTGCAGAAGCCGAACGGGTGCTGCAGGACAACGACACGGTGGAAAAGATAAAAGCTGTCTTGCGCCGCTGGAGCAGCACATGGGTCGGGGTTTTCAAGAGCGGTGAAAGATTTGAGCTCAGGAAAAGCGCAGAAGATAAACCCAGGGAAGTGGACCCTTTCAGGGAAGAAAGACGAGTTGACGCAAAAACTGCGCGAGTTCGTGGAAGAGGCAGGACTGCGTGCTTTGTCTGAGATTCACAAGCGGTTTTCGTGGGACGCAGGCAAAAGCAGCCCTGAAGGGCTTGAAAGAGGACGTCCGTTCGTGCGCACTGGGGCTGTGAGTCAGGGCTCCTGTGTTGTGTGTTGCAATTGGTCCGCCAGGATTCTCGCAGGGCGCAAGTCCAGATCTCGGTGTCGCTGTAATTGTCTTTGCCTGGATTCTTAGCTCCTCTTGAGGTGACAAGCTGGCACCCTGGGCGTGGCGGAGTTGCTTCGCGCGCCAGCCCGCAGCAGGACGCTCCAATCAGCAGTTGTAAATTTGGCCGGTTGCAATCGTGCCAGGACAGTGGTGCGGAGGCCGGGGGCTCGCATGCGCCAGGCTTGGTTGTTGGTGAGTGCTGGCAGGACTGGCTCGCCAAGAGCCGCGAGGAGGTGGAGGCTTTTGGCGAAGAGGAGGTTCTGAGCTGGGCCGAAGCGGTGCTGAACGAGGGCAAGGTGAGAGATGAGCTCATCCAGCGGACGGTGACCGCACTGCAGCAGCAAGGCGTCACCGGCAAGTCCCTGCTGAAGCTAACACTGGAGAAGCTGATGGCAGCGCCATATAGCGTCCCTGGTGGACCAGCGGAGCTGCTGGCCGAGAAGATCCGGCTGTTGCAGCAGCCCGAGGCACGGCTGGAAAATTGTCTGCTCTTGACTTTGTTCTGAGACATTGGTCGTTGCGTGCGGATTTGAGGAATTCCCCCCCGCGGCCCGCAAATGCTTTCAATGGGGCTGCCCTGATCAACATCCACAGAACCAGGAAATCCCAAGGTTACATTTGTGCAGATTGCGGCGGTTCGTGTCGTTGGCAGGCTCGGTATGGAGCCCCCATGAACGGATGGTTGCCTTTCCTTGTTGGAGGTCGGCCATTCCTGCCGGTCGACATTGATTGAGAGTTGATCGTTGTGAGTGATTTTGCGCTTGCCCCCAGCCTGCTTTTGAAAGAGCACGTCTGCCGGGGAGAGGGAGGGCAAACTCTGATGTCTTTGCACCCATTGGGGTCCTTGCTGCTGCAGGCACAAGTGCATTCTATGAATGTTCTCTTTGATCTCCCTGGCGGTGTTCTTGCTCGTTGTTTTGCCCGTTTTGCTGCCATTCCATCCCGTTCTGTTGTTCATTTTTCTCCGTACCTGTTCATATCTTGCTGATTTGGTGCGAGTGTTTGGCGCAAAACTATCAAACAGTTGAGGGGGGAACCCGCAAATATTGAAGAGCCTGCTGTTCCAGTCGCCTGCCTTTTGAAGAGCAACACCTACCCTTCTGCCATGGTCGTTGCTGCTGCAGACACAATGCAATCCGAAGGTTAAATTTTGTTCCGACAGCACGCTGTCCTTCTGCTGCCGGCTGACGTTGAGACGTGCCGTTTGACGTTTTGTGTGGTTTTGATTTCCCCCGCGGAAATGCTTTCAGTGGGGCTGCCCTGATCACATCCACAGAACCTGAACATATTTGACGCCACTCTCATGGGCAGTGTTCCTGCTGGAACATTTGGTTTTGTTTCGGTTTTGGTACCCTTGTGTTCCTTGCTTTCCTAGTGCTCGGCTTTCGCACTAAGTACCCATGCTTCTTTGTGGAGTGTTGTGAATGGTTAGCGTTTTGCAAAAACACGAACATGCTCGATTCGCTATGAATGGTCAGCATTGTTTCTTTGTCTTGTCAATGCCCCCTCTCCGGCAGTGGCTTTCCAGTCCACTTTTGCTTTTGGTTTTGTCACTGAGAAGGTCACTGAGCAGGTCGTCACTGCCAAGGACTTCAATATCGCTGCTTGCTTGCGACCTTCAGATGGTGACCGACCCAAAAGGTTCCTAGAGCTGGACTCTTGCGTTGATGACTGCATGCAGGCAGTCCAGGACAATCTGCCACTGGTCACAAAGAGTACGAAGCCGCGAGTGCCTCCTGCCATGCTCTCCCGCTGCATGCGCGGCGGCAAGACAACAATGCTTTGCAAGGTCTTTGACAGGCTGAAGAAGGAGAAGAAACTCCCCATTTTCATCAGCTTCAACGGGGATTCGCTCGTCTCCAAGCTCGATGGCGAAAAGGTACTGGACACTACGCTGAGGGCCATTGCTGTGAGTCTAATGAAGAACAAGCCCGCAGACAAGAAAGATGCAGAGCGGGTGCGCTGCAGCGAGAAAGCCTTGAAGGCATATCTGGCGGACAAGCAGGACGTCGTCCTCGTCGTGGATGAGCTGAACGTCTTGCTCAAAGCCAATCCAACCGATGGCCACCAAGATGCGGGGAGATTCCTGCGAGAGATGTTCCTTGACCCTGCAGGACGACACCTCGTGTTCAGCACCCACATCCCCACCAGCGCTGGCCTCGATCAAGTCTTGGGCAAGGGCGCAGGAAGCTCTCGTACGGTGATCCCCATAAAAATGCCCAGGTGCGCTGAGGTGCAGAGGCTGAGAGGCATGCACCCGAACTGCGCGGCCTTGACGCCGTTGGAGGCCGTCTATTTCGGCTACATCCCGTCCCTGATCTACTCGGTCAAGACGGGGGGCTTCGACCTTGAAGGGCGGATCCGGGATATCCTACCTGCTGCAAAGTCGGACTTCCTAGCAGAGTCTTTCCTGTCAGAGTTCTTCACTGGCGAGCGGGGTCCAGACCACGATCCAGTGCGAGCCTTCGATGCCCTCACTGAATCCCCCAAAAAGGGGCAGATCCGGTGGATTCTTGCCTATGTGGGACAGATGTGCTGCCACCTGGGTTGGAAACAGGTTGGTGCATGGATCGAGGAGCTCCCGAGCTGGTCGGGAAAGGTTGAGAGCGGCCAAGACTGGGAGACCGTGTTGCTGGTCGCTCTGTGCCTTCGATGCTATGAGGCCAAGTACAGCGAGCCCCACGAGCTGCTGGGACTGGCAAAAGGGGCTCTACGGCCCGCCGCGGTGTATGTGGAGAAGGTGCCGCAGGAAAATTCTACCAACCCAGAAGTCATACTGGCCTGGTGGAAGGGGCAGCCGATCGACACATACCCCTACATAGCGGTGCTGTCGCCCACTTTTTCCAAAACGGAAATCGTGGACGCCATGTGGGTGTATCAAAGGGATGCAACAGCCAGTTGCCTGGTGAGGGGCATGCAAGCCAAACTAGGCAGCGCCTACCCGAAGCAGGATATGCCCCTGGGCATGCTGGGGTTGCTGTTCCGTGGCAAGGCGCCGGAGACCTCCCGTAACTTGGAAAGGCAGCGGTGGA